TCTGGTTCTTTTGCGGCAAGTCAAGAGGTACTATATTTCACCTGCGGCCAGTCTGGCTGTGCTGGTGTTTCTGTTCTCAGCCGAGAAGTTCAGCTGGCTGTCTGCACTCTGCTGCCTTAACTGCTGAATCAGCTTAAGAGACAGAGAGCGACCAGTGCCCTCATACCTGCATGTTAACGCGAGGATTACTGCATTGTTATTATAAAACATTGTAAAAAGATCTAACAGCTCTTCAAATACAGACCCGTTGATCGTAGATGCCATAAACACAAGGTAAGGCCCCAGCAGTTTCTTCACTAAAGGCAGCGGGATCGCAGCAGCCTCGTCGATGACTAGCAGCTCTGCCTGGCCTAACTTCACTGCATCAGCAGGGTGAATGTACTGCAGATCAAAACACATCAGCAAGACTTGAGGAAAATTATGAATGATTATTATAGAGTTATGAATGATGCAAAATGCACTATATGAACCCTGTTGTTTCTGCACTTCCACATATTTTTATATGTACTAAAGTGGAATAAACCAGCTCTAAACAAAGAAAGTATCTGAGATTCCACAATTTAACAAATATTTGCAAGAAAAAAATGAAAATTATGGAAAATAAATGCAGAGATGGAGGTTAGTATACCTGAATGGTCTGGCGATGTTCCTTGAAGATGTTAACACGAACCACGGCTTTGTTGAACTCTGGGTTCAGAGACTGGATTATTTCATAGTCCAGATGTTCCTAGAATTTACAAAAAAATCTGGTTTAAAGTAGGTTCCTGAAATGTATGCAAATGTCTGACTTAGAGTCTCCTGACAGATAACATTTTTGCCTATAATATATTTTTTTTAAATTATATCATTTACCAAATATTGAAGGAATGATCAGGGTTTCACTCATTTAACTCAAATTTCAATCAGGGTTATTACAGCTAACTACAAATGAAACTATTAAAACATTTAGCTAACTGAAATAAAATTAATATGAAAAAGTTAACAATTAAATATATATATATATTAATATTTAACCCTATGTTATTTCAGTTAGTTGCCAATGTTGTTATTTTGATGTAGTTTAAGCTGAAGTACTAAAATTAATAAAACTGAAATAGAAATTAATAAATACTAGACATAACTAATAGAGAATTACTAAAACTTTATCTAAAATCAGAATGAAAGCAGAACATTTTAAAACTATGTTATTTTTTAATTAAGACTAATTCAAAATAATAATAAAAACTGCAATAGTATATTATTGATACAAATATAACACTGGGTTCAACTGGTATTTAAAGTAACACATTTTTTTGTGAAAACATCTTATCTACCCTTATGTTCAGTGATGATTACCTGATACTGGAGAGCGTCAAAACCTTTAAATACGAACTCAAACAGCGTGTGCAGATTGTCTGGGCTGGGTGATGTGACAAACATATTTGAATAGCTGAGAAGAGAAGTACAACACAAACACAATAAGTTATTTATTAGCATAAATTGCAGTCAGGAGGCAAATGTAACAAGAAAAATTAGCTTATTCATGATACCCTACTACATACCCAAAAGCAACAGCTCCAGCTACAGCCAATCCCAGTGCAGCAGATTTGCCTCGACCGCGGGCAGCAGTAAGAGCTACAGTGCTCCGCAAGGTCTTCTCTGAAATAGCCTCGATGAACTTCAGCACTGCTTTGGCCTAAAGACATAAACACAGGCAAAATAAAATATTAAGTTGGGCCACGTGAAACAAATCACAAACAAAAGAAAAAGAGAGTTATTTTAATTATACCTGGTCCATAGTTTTACAGCTGTCCACGAGAACACCAACTGGCTGTGTGTCCTGTAAAGACTCCTTTAGGTCCTTTAGCTCTTGTTCCCTTGGAGACAGTCCATCATCCTGTTGGCAAATACAAAGATGATGGAATTCATATGAGCTAATAATCAAACAAAACACTGTCCAATTATGAACAAGAGTTACCTGCGTCTTTGGAGGGACAGGTTTGATGTTGGTAATGTGAGTGGAGATTGGCAGAATGTTTAGTTGGTCTTCGATTACAACGCATGTCTTACAGGAGGCAAGAGAAAGGATGAATCTGGGGAAAATGAGATTATATCATTTTTACATGCATTTTTTCTTACAGGACAGGATATGCACCTCAGATTAGGGCTGAAGGATGTAAATGAAATCAAAATCATGTGGAACATTTGTAGCAGAATCTGCTCATCAGAGTTTGGGTCACTTATAACATGCATTTGAGAACGCAACATGTTGTTAAAGAAGCTTTAAAGGCTCCCTGTGGTTGTCTATGAAAATAAAAGTTTGGAATATAAAAGAAATTAAGACTTAAATATTAGTATTGTAATTTTACAGTTGTACTGTAAAATGAGATTATTTTTCTTAAATACTTGATTTTTTTATTTGACTGTGAAATAGTATTACAATAGTAAAAGTTTCATGTTTTTTTATTTTTTTATTTAACGATAATCAAAATAAAATAATAAAATGAAATTATTATTATTATTATATTGATATATAAATCACAAAATATTCGGCCAAACTGTGCAGTCACACAAAAAATTACAAATTAAAACACAACCACAATTTTAATAAGAAGGAAAAAATATATACCGCAAATATTTTTTTCCCCACAAAATGCAGATATATATAAGTATATAAATAAATAACAGATATATAAATATTATAATCAGGGTTTTTGTCACTAAACGTCGAAAGACTGACCTTTCATTGAACCTTCCAACAACATCCTGGTGAGCCTCTGTCCTGTATCGAGAATGAACATCCTGAAAGAAAACATGCATTTTAATAATTATATTCACGTACAAATTGCCAGATTAATATTGGTATACAAACACTTAAGAGGCCATTCACCATTGTCATTGTGTACAGCTGCTTCAGTGAATTCATAGTCCTCAGAAGAATGACCACAATGCCCCCACCCTCCACAGTCTCAATGGTCCGAGCCAAGAGGTTGGGAGTGAGAGCTTCAAAGTCCTGTAACAAAAAGTGAGAAAAACTTCACCCTAAACTGCTGCAAACCCCATTGTACTACATACCTCCCATCAATTTTTACAAGTAAAAGTAAAAGGCCTTTTACTACAATTCTAAACCCCCCCCCCTTCAGGTTGTGGTACATGTGTCTTTTTGATATGAAATCTTTAGACTTTTATGAATATGACTTCCATATATCAGGCTTTACATATGTCTGAGAAGTTCGTCAATGGTATTACCTGCAGAACACACATGCCATAGGTGTTTCCCAGGATCTTGTGCGTTTCATTGTAGTAGCAGTATCGGATGTTGGTAGCAGCAATGAAGAGCTCAAAAGGATCATCCTTGTTTAGGTTCAGCGTGCCTGTTTTGATCTTCTTCTGCAGCTGTCGCATCCTCTTCTTTCGATTACTATGAAACAAAAGATTCATTTCTATAAAGGTTCCTACAATTTTATATACAATTCACAATCTGTGAAAAGTCAATGGAAACAAAGTCTAATTATATGAACAGGGGTCTGTCATCAAAGTTGTTTGTGAACCTACAATAAAATGTTCATATTACCTGCTGAAGCTAAGCTCCTTTTTGTAGCACCATAACACTGATGGCCGGGCTCTGACTGTTGCTTTAGATAGCATGTGGTGCAGAACGACAACCTGGATGCAAAATGCACATGAGTGAGGCTTAGCAAACGTCGTTACAGTATTACAATATTTTTAAACACTGTTATGTTTTACCTGATCTCTGCCACGATCACCAACTATAAAGAACATAGATCGATGGTGTTGAGCGACACCGTTTTCTATCTGGACTCGAATGCGATTGTCCACCTTCTTCCGAAAAGTTGCCATTGCTTCCCAAATGCACCCTGTCACCACGAACATGACAAAGTCAGCTTTAAATATTAAATGTATTAAGTGAAATGAAGTAAACACTGTAGTGCGTGTTAACATACTTTAAACACATTTTACATAGCGTTCAGACAAAACTAGGTTTATTTTTAAACATGTTTATTCATATCGCAAGACATACCTCAAATGTTCTACCGGTAAAGCAAAATACGCTGTTGAAGTCTTATATGCAACTTTTGGGCAATACAATTTCGCCTCATTTACAGCAGTCTATCATGCTCGTACATTCACGTGGGAACCCTCGGCGAAAGAACCCAGGTATGATGGGCCCCAAAACAGACATATAGCAGTCCACGATAACGCCTGTTCTTAATGACCGAATAACGCGCGTATTATTTTTATTTAATAAATTAGTGTCTGCGGTTGACATGACCTAAAAATATTTTAATTTTGCACACATCAGACTTAAACTACGGTTTTTTTTCTGTTTATATAATGTCAGAATCGTCAAGGCGGTAAACTTGTATCATTGTGGGAGTTGTAGTCTTTCTGTAGAAACATAATTTCGTTACATTGGCCCTCTATGAAACAAATTCAAACATTTAAAACTTACCGTTTCTGTATTTCTCTATAGATTTGTGCCACATCGTCCTCAGCGTGTACATGTTGTTACATTCATGGTTTGTGATGTGCTTTTGATTGTAATTGTTGCATTCAAAATGTGGGTGTGCAAGACTCATTAGAAGCCATGTTTCCTATGTCTTATTCTTTTTCTTTATAATCTTAAACATAACTTTTGTTCTGTACATCACCAGTGGTCATACACTGTACCTACATTAGTAGTGATATAACTCGTATAGATGCAGTATAGAAAGGGAGAGTCAATCATACAGCAGAGAATCCTGTGTTTGTAAGACATTTAAGACCACTTCTTATGTAAACGCATCTCCAATAAAGAATTTACTTGATGTTATAACATTTGCATATTGTGCAGATTTGTGTTTTCTAACCAAATGGCAGTGGTTCTAAGGTCCTCTAGGTTGATAGGCATTGTAAGGATGCCAAATATATTGACATCCAATAAAACCAAATATGTCTGGACTTATATTGTAATCATGGGGGGGTGGGGGGACTCAAACACCAAGACTCAAACAGCACTCCAGCATTTAATGCAACACATCTTTATTGAAACTCCTGAAGCAATATCACTTTATAAACAGAGTCTGGGAGCATCTTAATGTACCAAAAGAAACATATTAGAACCAAAATGAATTCGTGTGAACACAACAGTGGGGCAAAAAGAGAACTCCCAATCTTGGACCAGCTGTGGCAGGTATGAGTTTTATTTCCTACAAAAAAATAAAAATAAATTAAGTCTTTCAAGTTCACAGGTATCTGTTAGAAACAGGGTAGTTTTAAAATCTTGACGCTGGGTTTTCAGCTTGCTTTCTGAATCATTTTCTCCATTTTAACATATCAGGGTAGACGTTGTCCTATCAATTCCAGGAAGGTAAGAGAAGGGGGGGAAAAAACAGCCAGAACAAATACACTTCAGTATCTGAATGTTCACTGTGGTCCTGTGGTCCAGATGTAAGCTCAGTTCACAAGGCTTAAGACCGCATGGCTGGAGCATTTCCTCGAGAGACCCCTCGAGCCCCCTGGCCAGCACCACGTTTATAGTTCGGTTGGTAACCATCCTGTGGAGAGACAAATAAAAAGATTAAAGACGACGTCAATGTCAATGTCTCAACAGTATTTTGAGGATGTGTTGAGACTAGTGTTGTCAAAAGACCCGGTACTTCGGTACCAAGTCGGTACTAAAAAAATGAAAACGTTACGGTACCAGGTTTTTTTTAAGTACCGGTGGTACCGAGTACCCGGTCAACCCGGTTCTTGATGCGCTTATCCGAAAGGTGCGCAGATGCGCTCTCTTCATAAAAGCACTGAGACATGGCGACCTCAAAATGAGGAAACCCATCAAACTAACAAAACACTTTAAAGACAGACACCCAGATCAAATGAAAGCGTTCAAGCAGGTAAGTTTCATTTAAATTTTTCAGTGTTTCCCATACATTGATTTATTTGTGGCGCCCTTCACAATATCAAAACTGACCGCCACAAATAGATTTTACACAAGGCTTTGACTTCGTTGAATAAACATGAGCACTGCATGTGTCAAAGTCGAAACCTGGTGCGGGTGTTTTTATATCACTGTATTTCTGAAGGAAACCGACTGTCTTCAGAAAATTATGGATGTCATTCTCATTTCATCTGCCTGTAATGCCTGATAAAGCAGCGTTTGTGAGCGCAGCGCTTATTTGATTACAGCCATTACTGGGGGAAAACGCCATCTCTCCCACTCCAACAGCACCTCCTGTTGGCAGAGAATGAATTTGCATATATATGCCGCCACAAATAGAGTGCAAGTCTGTGGGAAACACCGCTCAGTTATGAATATTATTCAATATTTTAATTTGAATGTCGGATTGAATGAACATCGCTGTTATTAGAGTAGTTAATTGTTAGCATAAGCGCGGCTAACGCTAATATAATGAGCATTAGAATGAAAAACAAAAAAAAAACAGGAGGACATGATGATATTTACTATTTTTACACACCAGAGGCTTTTAAATGAATTGTGATTCTAAAATATGAGTGTTAGAGAACGTACAAATGGTTAACACTGTTTGTGTCATCAGTCAGAAAAGTAGTTCTGGGCTTTTTTTTTTTTTTAGCTAACTTAGTTGTTATTCTTGGCTGAATAACTCTAAGGGTTTAAAAGCCCTTTAAAATTAAATATGTACACAGTTTGGATTAAATGAAAGTATAGTCAAATTTTTTAATTAGCATGTTTTTGTGAGAACTGTGGATTTTCACTGGTATTGGTACCGAACACTGAAATTTTGGTACCGTGACAACACTAACATTTACATTTGGTATACATTTCTGCTATATACGTAATACCAGGCCTACTGCACAGTCTTTATGAGGTAAAATACAACAGAAACAATAAAACAGCATCACTCACAAGGATTTGGAAGCCATAGTTCCTCTGAACTGGGAATTCGGTCACATCGTAGCACGTGGACAGATCGACCTCTCCGTCCACATCAGCGGCCTGAGAAACATGAGGGACATTGTTAAACAGTCACATCATCAAAAAAATGCGTTTAATGGCTGATGAAAACACGTACCTCCTCAGCGATGGAGTCGCGGTAGAACCTCAGGCTCTGATCGGTCAGAACAAACCAGTGTTTCTTCCACTGAGAGACAGAAGCAGAACAAACCTTTTGAATAACCTCCATATTAAATATTCAAACATCACTGAAGCACAAGGACATCGATTCCTGGTTTGGC